CCAGACTGACCTGTGGGCAAGGCAGAAGCTTGGACAAGATGGCTGGGCAAGACTGAGTGTCACTGTGTGTGAGACTGCCAGACTATCATTACTACAGGTGTAACTAGTTGGTCAATGGAACTATACTGTCAGTCTGCGACTGTCACTGAGCCTGAGGAGTGAGGAAGAAGCTAAGAGAGCAAGAGCTATAGTAGCAGCAGTAGTCTCGTCACGCCCCTTTGCTACCTGCGGAGAAAGGGTCTGGAGACACTCACGGTAAAAATGTGTGCTTCATGCAGAGAAATCCACATCCCAATCAGATTGCTCGAGCCACGTGTAGGACAAGTAGTCATGTGACTGAAGAGCTCTGTTTAAGACAAAAGAAGAAGAATGAGGACCAAATAAAGGCTGGCAGGAGCTTGTAACACTCCCTGGACTTCTTTCTCAAAGTTTAAGAGAAACATTATTATGCTGCTTATTACAACGACGCCATCGCACTTATGACGTAATAATAATGTCACGTGTTTACAATAAAACGTCATCAATAAAAAGTAAATATTACAGCGCTCTGTAAAGAGCTGCTGCTCTCAAATCTGCAAGAGATGTCCAAGAGGCTTTATCCTTGTCTTCTTTTAGCTGCAAAGCATCTCTTTCAGCTGTTTTGACTGATCTGGTCTCCTCTGTCACATGATATGGAGCCAACCACGTGGTTTCCTTTGCACACATTTTTACTGTGAGTGTCTCCAGACCCTTCCTCCGCAGGTAGCGAAGGGGCGGGGCGAGACTATAGCAGCAGCAATTTTATTCAAGTTATGAATTATGATGTCATATTATTATTAATTATAAAAATTATCAAGTCTCAAGTGGGACTTAATCACCTATCTCTTTGACATATAGAAAGTGATTTGTCTTCCAAGCTCAGGGTCTGCTTAGACAAGGTAGTCATAAAGTTTGCTGATTCTCACAAGAACTCTAGAGTACTCCCACAGTGTTCATCCTCCTCAACCTCAGAGTCGAGTTTCCTCCTCCATTTTTGCTATTTCTTGTTAACCGGCTTTATTAAAAGCCACCATATCACAAAAAGATCTCTCCTGATTACCTGATTACAATAACATAATAATAATTGTGTATGCATGTCAGATAATGCAAAATCTCTATAATTTGGGCAGCAAAAGGGGCTTAGCCAAGTTTTTGGTGAGCTTTACGTGCCCAATCTTTTCTCCTTGCATGACGTTCTTTCAATGTCTGCCTACGCTCATGCACAGGCAGTTATCTTCTCTGAGGAAAGAGATCAATCAGCAGCAACTTTGGTCAGCCTATCAGCAATATGTTCCCAGTGTGACATTCTGGCATTTCTTCTGTTACAAGTATTTTACTAGACAGCTACCAAGACCCATTCATAAAGTCAACAGTCATGGTTAAGTAACCATGAATGGCTACGCTTCTCCAGATATCTGTCGTTAAACCTACATGGTCACACTCGGAGATTAGGCTATCCTTTTTACTTCATAGACACGACGGCACACTATAGTGATGTGTGCGTGACGGAATACTACACTACACCTTGGCTCAACATAGCTTATCAGGTTGTTAAAGCCAACACCATCAACTAGACTAATTGGTCAAAGGTCCCTTGCCAACATTTTTACAATTAATTTAGTAATTTTCTTCGATCTATTTTTACAGCATTTCTTTGGAGCAACAAATCGATCTATACTATTACTGTGGGCCTTTCATTTCTGTCTCCTTGACACAGGTGAGGATGTAGGGAAAGCATATGGCTCTTCATAGACAGTGGTATGGTACAACAGTCTTGCAGTTCTTACACTTGACCTTTTTAGGATCAATCTTTTGAAAATGATCCAAAACTGGGCTTCTGAAAGATAAAGAACAACTTGCAATTGTCACAGCAGCCAGTAGTTGCCATAGTAGCTGATAGCTGCCAGTAAGTAAACAGAGAAGACCAGGTAACACATGGTAGGCATGGCTATTAATAAAAGATAATTATTGCAATATCCATTAATAATTTTATGATGGAAATAGCTCAACTAACAAAGGGTATTCGCATATTGCTGTAAACATACAAATATTTGAATATCTTCTTATTCATTTCAGCCCTAGTCAAACTTTATTAAACTATGAGAATATTTGTTCCTAACTTGCTAAATTACGTGTAGTTCCATCTACAGTATTTATGATTACATTTAGCATGCTAATAAAAGCCATTCAGGTCAAAACTTATTAGCAAAGCAATCTTGTGCATAGAGATGGGCAATATCATAAAAATTACTGACAGTTATCATAAGCAAAATTATCATGATTATCACGATTATTATGAATAATAATGATTATGTCATGATACATGAAATAATCAAATTTACTGATCATGTTAACTTGTTAAGCGATACTTAGGTTAAATAGGCAGTTTTATTGTACTGTAATTCCTTGTCAAAACACCTAGGCCCTAGACGTTTAAATGAAGTAGGCCTTTATACAAGGTGAACATTTATAACCAAAAA